GGCCAAAGAGCTCCCCAAGGAGGCCCCGAAGAAGCCAAATCCGTCCAAAACCTGAGGAAAGTCAATGTGGTTTGCTTTCTCGCCTTGTCGCGTCCGATGGTCTTCCAAAGCCCCAATACAGTCCCAAGAGGGCACATGAGCGCCCCAAGAGAGGCCCAAGAGAGCCCCAAGACGGCCTCAAGAGCGCCGAAGAGTGCTCCAAGATCGCATCACGAGGGGCCCAAGGGGTGATGTGTGGGGCTCCCGAGGGGGGAGAGGGGGGGGGGCTAATTAAGGAACCCCCCTTATTTGATCGTTCTCCTCCAAGATGGCCTCAAAGGGGCCCCTAAAGCTCCCAAGAGCGCCCCAAGAGGGCCCCAAGAGGCGCCCAGACGGCCCCAAGAGGCCCCCAAGAGGCTCCCGAGAGACCCCATACGAGGCCTCAAGGGGATCCCCGAGGCACCCAAGATGCCCCTCAGACGCTCCAAGAGGCCCCCCCGAGGCACACAAGAAGTCCAAGAGCCTCCCAGGACAGCCAAGAGACCCCAAGACGTCCCAAGAGGCCACCAAGAAGCGCCCAAGCGATATCCCAAGAGGCTAAGAGAGGCATCCAAGAGACGTCTGGCCCGTTTGCTCGCCCTCTTCCTCCTGCTCCTCCTACATCCTACTCCTTCTCTTCTTCTTCCTCCTCCTCCTCATCATCATCCGCCTCATCATCTTCCTCCTCATCCTCCTCCTCATCATCATCATCCTCATCATCATCATCATCGTCATCAGCATCATCATCATCATCATCATCATCATCAACAACAACATCAGCATCACCATCATCATCAGCAGCATCATCATATTCATTTTTCTTCTCCCCATTCCCTCATCAATCCATCCAGCCTCCTTCTTCTCCTCCTCCCTTTGTCGCACGGTTCGGCCGTCCACCTCTTTGCGTCCGCACTTCCCTGATCACCTCAACTCGCCTGGACATCGTTTCTAGTTGGGCTGGTGGGGATACGCGAAGCGTCTAGAATCCAAAAACATGACAACCTAATAACAAAAAACAAAGAACACACACACACACACACAAAACTGCTTCTATTCTAATATATATATATATATATATATATATATATATATATGATATATATACATATATATATACACACGTATCAGCCAGCGTTGACTCAAAATAGATAGGAGGACAGGAGGAGGACGAGAGGAAGATGGGAGGAGGACAAAAGGAGGACGGGAGCAGGACGGGAGCAGGACGGGAGGGGCAAAATCAAGCAAGCGCGAGCAAGCAAGCGGAAGCAAGCAAGCGCAAGCGAGCAATAACAAGCAAGAAAGAGCCAGCGATCCAGTGCAAGCAAGCAAGAGCAAGCAAGCGAAAGTAAGCACGCAAGAGCAAGCAAGCAAGCGCCATTGGAAAAAAAGGGGGGGCATTGGAAAAAGGGGAGGGTGCCATTGGAAAAAGGGGGGGCAAAGACCGGTTACTGATGACGAGCTAGGACTCTTATAGGGCAAGCCTCTTTGGAGAGTCACTAAACTGACGATAAAAAAAACTGCAAACGAAACGCACAACAACAAGCAGAACCCAAAAAAACAAACAACAAAAAACGATACTCCTCCACCTCCTCCCCCTCCTCCTCCTCCTCCTCCTCCTCCTCCTCCTCCTCCTCCTCCTTCTCTTCATTCTCCTCCTCCTGCCGATCTTCCTCCTCCTCCTCCTTCTCATCCTCGTCCTCCCCCCTCCTCCACCCGTATGTCCTCTATGTTCTAAGGAAAAGAGTCCCGCTGCGAAAAACTGACCTGTCTACCCAGATCAGGAGCCATCTCCCAAGGGTTACCAGGCCAGGCTGTAGGAGCCTGAAACAAACCCTGGCACACCTTCAATCCTCCTCCTCCTCCTCCTCCTTCTCGTCCTCCTCATCCTCCTCCTCAGCATCCGCATCCTTCCTCCTTTTTCATTCGTCATTACACCTTCTTCTCATTCTCGCCCTCCTCCCGCCGCTCACCGACATGGTCATCATCACTCCTCGGGGAAGCTGAAACGGTATGACCGTCGCGCGCTCGAAGGGAGCATCCCAAACGATCGAAAAGCCTGTTGATGATGAAAGTCTAACACGACTACCGGCTTGAACATGAAGCGATACAGCAGTCGCCATGGAGTGCCGTACCTGCTGTTGACCGGGCCGACAGCCTGGGCCGGCGGCACCGAGGCCCCCGACAGGCCCCGAGCCGGCTCCAGAACACGCACACGCCCAAGAGGAACAAAGATAGCCCATAGGTGGCCCGAGATGGTCCAAATCAGCCCCAGAGAGGCCGAGATGCTTGAGAAGCCATTGGCCCTCCAGTGATAGTTGCTTTCTCGCCTTCTCGCTCCCGACCGACTTCCGAGACCTCAAGACAGCCCTAAGATCGCCCAAGGAAGGTAGCTCCGAGCAAAGCCCAGAAGGGCTCCAAGAGCTGGGTGCACATGCGAAAGCCCGGCGTACCCGGCCTTACAAGGCCGAACGCTGGAAAGACG